TGCCCCTCATCAGTTGCCAGTGATTTAGTGGCCAAACCATTTCGCTTTTGCATTCTTTCTCCCATCTCTTGTTTTTCTATCTCTGTCATGGGTCTGTCGAACTTTTTGCGTTTCGGTGCCACGATCTGAACTGTTTCATGTTGTTTAACTTCGGCCAATTTCAAGAGAGCATTGTAATCCATGGTGGGTGGTGGTGGCCGGTGACTCATTTTCGTTTTACGTCCTGCAGCTTCATGTTCAGCTTTTGGATCGTAGAGATTTTTATGCGGTCGCCGTTTTTTGCCATCATCGTTTGGAGTCCGTTTTCGGTTCAACTGATCAACATTTTCCTTTTTATCAGCATCCGAACGGAAGGCCATAACCCGTTCATATTTTTGTCTCTTTCGTTCATTCTCGGCGCGCTGTTCTTCCTCTTTTTTGGCCAGATATCGTTTTACACCATCCGAAAGCTTTTTATCTCTTGACTCTTTCTTCGGTGGATTGAATTTAGTCGAGTAAAATTTACTTTTCTGAAAAATAGAAAAAGAAACCATTTTAATTAAAATGTTTGGGAAATATTGAAAACATGTATTCAAAATAAAATGTCTATAAATAAAAGATGAACTTTTCCGCACTGTGATCCACAACATGCATTTATTACATATCTTTAAGTTAAATTTAAACTCACGTAAAAACTGAATCTTACATTGGCATGTGTCAAAAATGGGAAATTGGCTGACAAAAATGGGGAGTTGACCCCCCAAAAATGGTGCGACAAATGGGGAATCGGCTGTCAAAAATGGAGCTTTTGGTTGTCAAAAATTGGAAAATTTGGCTGTCAAAGATGAGGAAATTGCCCCCCAAGAATGAGGAATTGGTCCACCAAAAATCGGGAATTGGCTGTCAAAAATGTGTAAAAATTTCTTGGAAGTATTATTCGATGCAATTTTATACTTTAATTACATTATCTTTCTTATGTTCTTTTGTCTTTTCTTCATTTCGTTGTTTCATATTGTTCCCCCGCTAGGATTATCAATGAACTGGCTTCAAAAATGCGTCGATAAAAAAAACGAAAAACATTTGTAAACATTTCTTGAAAGTAAGAAAAATAAAATGTCTTACATCCGTAAGATGAACTTCTCCGCACTGTCATCCACAACATTCATTTATTACATATTTTTTACTGTAAATTTGAATTCTCGAGAACAGTGAATCTGATAATTCTTACAAAAGTTACTAAAAATGGGAAATTTTGTATGGTATCAATGCCTGTATGAGGTTACAGGGTACAGGGTACCACGCACATACATTCGGACATCGATAAAACGACTTATACGTGTTTCCTGACTCCGAAAACACCCAGAAAACATGTTTTTTGAGGGTGTTAATTTTTGCATTTATTACATATCTTCAGTGAATAGATTGGGCTACAGCTATAGCAGTGCTATTTTCACAGCTCCTATTCATAGGTGCTATTTGTGAACAACGCATACTGACAGCGATTTTATGATACAATTCCGGACAATAGACCTATTGATTTGTTTATGCAAAAAAATGCAAAATACTAAAATCAATTGTTCTATTTAAATTTTGAACATTTCGTTCGGAATTGAATCATAAAGTCGCTAGGGGCAGAGTTGTGAGTAGTAATCCCGAGAGTCAAGCGCAATAAGGGCACACTATATAAACGCCATCTATTAATAACCGACTAACTACAATGTTAATCAAACGTATCTGTTTCCCCTTTTTATTTACTCCCTTCCCCTCTCGCTATACTTTTACATTGTAGTTAGTCTGTTTTACAAAGATGTCGTTTCTGTGTAAGATGTGTGACGTCACAATGTATTTATATGGATAGCGCTCGACTCTCGAGTAATCCATATTAATCCGCAGTAATACACACTTGTGTAAATTCTAACAGCAGTGCAATGACGTTTCATGTGTACGTTGTGTATTACATTTGTTAGGAATAAAGCGTTCGTCGTATATTGCGGTATAGTTTTGCATTTTGCGATATCGTAATAAATTTTTATTACGATGATAATTATTATGTTTTATATCGTTTTCAGGATCGGATCCTAATAACGTTATCAAGATGAAGTCATAATAAATTTATTGGGATTACAACCTAATACTCACTATGTTTTATCATAATATTTATTAGGATTCATCTTAATAAATACCGTGGTCACCCAGTGTGTAAGGTAAAGTATTGGAATCGGTTGAAAAATTGGCACCCATTAAAAACGTGTTTTCTGGGTGTTTTCGGGGCCAGGGAACACGAATCTAGCGTTATTTCGATGTCCGAATGTATAAAAGTAGAAAAGTAATTCAAAATCTGACTTCACAGGATGATTGGGGGAGCCGAGGAATAGAAACCATTAGATTCTGAGTGACTTTAGTTGATAGAGTGAAGTGTCATGTCTATGGTGATGCCCATGGCGCATGGACATCCATGGGAAAAATTCAATTTTTCTTCCAAAAGTGATATTTAATGTATTCTTAAACACTCAAAAATATGTAATAGGCGGTTTTTGGGTACGAGAAAACCGAATATGATGTTATTTTTACGATACAAATAAATTTCAACACACTTTTCATACAAAAATTTCTAAAAATTTGGATTTTTGTATGGAAGCCATGCCTCTATGTTATCGTAATGAGCTGAACCTTTGCACAGGTCATTTTTCCACACGAAAATAACATTCCGAGGGTTTAAAGAGATTTGAATGCATAATAGGGGTACCTCTCGAACAAAATATTGGATTTTTTGCTCAAAAACGAAAATTTTGTATGGAAGGTACCACTCAATTGTATTGAAATTTCTTCAAACTTTCAAAATGTTAGCTTTTTGTGAAAAAATTGCCCCGTGCAAAGTTTCACGTCATTACTATATCACACAGGCATTGAAAAGTCTATCAAAAATTATTTGTATCGCAAAACTAATGTCAGATTCAGTTTTTGCGTAAGTTAAAATTTAAGTTAAAGATACGTAATAAATGCATGTTGTGGATCACAATGCGGAAAAGTTCATCTTACGGATGTAAGACATTTTATTTGTATGGGAGCCATGTCTGTATGCTACCTTAATGGCGGGAAACTTTGTACAGGTTATTTTTTTCACAAAAAAATAACATTCGGAGGGTTTCCTTCCTACAAAATATTCGTTTTTGAGCCAGACATTGAAAATTTTGTATGTACCCCTAATTTTGCTTGAAATCTCATCAAACTAGTATGTTATTTTTTTGTGTAAAAAATAGTCTGTGCACGTCATTAAGGTAGCATACAGGGATGACTCCCATACAAAAATTCACTTTTTTGTGATTTTTTCAAGGAAACTGTATCAAAAATTGATTGTATCTCAAAACTAACCTCGCATTCAGTTTTCTCGTGCCAAAAACCCCCCAATACATATTTTTGAGTTTTTAAGTCTACAAGTCTAATGACTTCTGGACGAAAATTGTACTTTTTTTCATAGGTATCAGGCATGAATCAATCATCCTGTACAGTCAGATTTTGAATTAAGTTTCTACGATGAGCGCAATCTTGCTAACAAATTTTGCGTACGACGTACAACGTACAACTTACGACGTACAGATTAAGAAAAACCATGTTTAAAAACGCCAAATTCGTGTTCTCTGACCTCAATAATAGATTGAAAACATGTTTCTGAAGTTATCAAAATTTTGACCGATTACAATACTTTTCACCTTACACTATGTGTGCGGAAAACTAAAAAATGTAAAAAAAATTAATTAAATCTTCTACTTTGTGACTTACCTCGTTGTTGAGCTTTTCACTCTCCTTTGCCGTCAATATCAATGAGTTATTCATGATGAAATTATACCGTAAATAAATGTGACACTTCACCGTTCAATATTCGTTATTAAATGATGTCTTTGCAAGATGTCGGTAGTATTTATACAAATCCAAATTGAACTATTGCATGTGAACATTGAACATGCTTAATTAGTGTTTGCACATTAGTTCCTTAATTGGACTTAATTTGGACAAATGAGCCATAAAGTGGACCCTTAAATAATTAGGTTTAATTCCTAATAAAGACATTGTAAAATTCGATGGGTTTATATCTATTCTTCTTAAACGATGTCATTTTTCTTGGCAACTCGTTTAATTTATTTAATATTTATTCAACGCCAAAAACTGGCTGAATCATGTTTGAGTGTGTAGATAGTTTTTTATACATGTATGGTGAGAAAAAGGTTTGAATCAATAATGTGTGGCACATCTGATCACCGTTGTATTCCGCATCTTTTCAAAAATTAATAATTAAATATCATTTCTAAATTGAATTTGGAGAGAATTTGACAAATATATAAATAAATAAGTAATTAAATAATTGATATTTATATTGCACTGAGTACAATGAGTTAAAAAATATGTAAAATATCACATTAAACCGTTTACGAAAACAGTATTATGTTTCGACACTAATGACAAGTTAGAAAAGTGTTCATCGCTTAGGACTAATAGTTGGTTTTTGAATGTTGATCTTTTTGTTTGAGTTGAGAATAGTTCGTGGACTTTGTTTGACAAAACTGACATTTTTTTAATTAGATACATTAGTTTTAATCATCATTAGATTTCTTCACAAGAATATTAGCGAATAGATAGAAGTAATAAAGAAAAGTTTAAGTTTTTATACTGTGAAAATGAAACATTTGCGAATGATACATTTTGGTAATTTGATTTGCATTAACTTGATGCAAAAATGACTGATGGGTTTAATCCACCTATTCCCACTTTATTCCTCGTCTAATCCATCTACTTCTTCACCAAATATAAATTGAACAAAAATAACAAATGCTTGATTTTCTACATTTTGTCCGGTAAAAACCGAAAAAGTTAGACCTTTGTTACATTTCAAATATTTGAAATTGTTTTAAAAACAAAAATTTCCCATTGTTTGACTTTTAGCAATGGTAACACAATACAATTGTCAACCAGTTGTCAATGTAAACGTCAAAAACTGTAATTCTTATAAACAAAGTTAATAATCAAATTGTCGTCGAAATAAATTATAAGTTTAAGCAAAATGTTTTCGTTTTGTCGTTTATGTGCAAAATGGATGGATAGAACGGATTTATTTACAGAATTATCTGAATTGCAGTCAAAACTTGTCTTCTGTTGTAGCTGGAAACCATCGCAAAATGAAGAAAAAATGCCTAAAAAAGTATGCAATTCATGCGTTGAGAAGCTGGAAAGTTGTTGGAATTTTATCGAATCTATTTGGGCTGCCGAGAAACAACTCAATAAACTCATATTTGAACCAGTCGAAATAAGCACCATAGAAGTTACTCCATATTTGCAAGAGGTAAAAAACGAAACGACGATGCCAAAGCTTAAAGAATTCTCAATATCATTGGAAAGGATAAAAATACCCTTCGATAACGATAACAGTGCTGAAACAAACAGTATTCAAGCTGATGATTTTAATATATTTGATGATGATGTCTTTGGTGAACCGATAAAGTACTCAGATACTGAAAGCGTTGAACCAAATAAAGGCGATAAGAAAGAAAATGCCAAAAAGAAGACAAAAAATAGAAAAAGGCAACAAGATCGATTTCTTGCTAATATTTCACCGGAAGATTGTCTTAATAGCGGGATTGTAAGCGATATTGGTATTAAGAAACTAGAGGAACTACTTCCAGACATGAAAACAATATCATGGAATGACATTCAATACAAATGTGAAAAATGTGATCGAAACTTCATAGGGCAGACTAATTTTTATGTACATATTCGTGCAATTCATTCGGAAGAACTTATGTCCTTTGATGTACCATGTTTTTACTGCAATTGCAACTCAAAACATCGACGTGATAATGCACTCAATAAACATATAGCTAGTAAACATTTCATACATTTGAAATATCGGTAAGAAGAGCTAGAATGCTCTCATAAATGATTTCAACGCATTATTAACACCCGAATAAATATATTATTGTTTTAGATGCGCACATTGTCCTGACTATTTTTGGAATAGAATCGAATTGACGAAACATCAAAAAATGCACACAAACCTTGAATTTACATGCGAATTATGTGGTCAAGTTTTTGCAAGTCGAAGCATTTTTTATGCCCATATAACACTGAATCATTTTAAGAAAAAGAAACCGGAGTTGGACGAAAAGTATATATGCGATATTTGTAAAAAGGAATTCACAACAAAAGGAGGCGTCAGGAATCACATGCTATTACATACAAAAAAATTCGATTATGTGTGCCATCAGTGTGGATGGAAATTTAAAGCCAAAGGTAATTCATCCAAATTTGCCATTTAATTGAGTTTTTTTTTCTCTAAATTGTTTAATTTATTTATTTAAGGTAATCTCAAGGAGCATCTCAATAGCGCACACACAACTGTAAGAGCCTTCAAATGCATGTGCGGCAAAAGGTAAGCAGTTTTAAGCATTAAGGTCATTTTTGAAATACTGACTTTTTCTTTTATGATTAAATCAATCGTTTAGGTTTAAAACGAAGCATCAATTGAATAACCACGCCAAGCATGTGAGTAATAAAATGTATTAATCATTGAACCATACCATCATGCATAACATGTATAATAAATACATAATCAAACAAAATTTATTGTAGCATGAACCGATTGATGACGTCAAAAATTTTGTATGTGAAGTTTGTGGCCGAAAATTCCGACGGTGTGTAAAATTAATTAGTATAAATAAGTACATATTAAATTATCGTATAAATTGAAATACTGAATAATAGTATAAATTAATTAATAAATAGACCTTACACACTAAATGTCCATATGCGGAGCCACACCAATACTTGTCCTTATACTTGTCGATTCTGCGGAAAGAGCTTCCGTCACAATATCACTTTACGGGTGAAATCAACATTTTATTATTTAACATCAAGAGAACCTTTTTGGCGGTGACTTTTACAACTTCAACACAATTTTCAGACTCATGAACGAGCGCACACAGATGACAAACCATATCCATGCCCAATTTGCGAATACAGATCAACTGCAAAAGGAAATTTAAACAAGCATATGATGCGCGTTCATTGTAAGTATAAAATACTTTGTATCATTGTATTTGGACAAAGGCTATTTTCTATTTTTTTGCAGCTATTGACTATCGAAATCACCTTAATTATCCGGAGGACAAAATTCATCAGGATACAGTTTAACTCGAATATTTTCTTAGTAGCCTTAATTTCACTTTTGACAGTCATCATAAATTTTATGTCTTGACAATGGAAAACTTGACCTATTAAAAAAAAATAAAAAAATAAGACAAAATTGACTTTTTGTTGAATTTTGTAAAAAAAACATCTTTCAATTATTACAATAATTAGAGTTTTTACATATTCTTCAATTTACAATGGTGTTAATATTCTGTGATAGATTCACACAAAATCAATATATACAATATACATATACGTTTAAACCATATGGTAGCAGCAAGAGCAAAAAAATCTATTACCGCTTATCGAACCATCTTGATTCTGAATATACACAACCGTTTTTTTAAAAACTCAATATATTGGTAAATAAATAACAGTGACACTATATCTATCAAATTTAAACACTCCCAGTCTATTCTATTAATGAAGATTCCCATCAGAAGTTTTCTTATTCTTGAAGTTCTCATATTTCTCTTTAGCCCTGGAATGTAAGTGATCATACTCTTGTTGACCCAATGCTTTGACCATTTTCCGGAAAACTCCGTTTTTGTTTTGCATCAGTAAGTACGGTGCATCGAATTCAATCGCAACGCCAGCATCCATAACTATAACCCGATCTGAATCGATGACAGTATTAAGTCGATGAGCCTCTGTTATAACTGTTGAGTCGACAAATTTCTCACGTATTGTCTTTTGAATCATTTCATCAGTTCTATGTACGAAAAAGAACGGAGTCAAAATTAATTCAGAATGAGCAGATCAAAATGTGAAGAAGGTCTTACCGCAGATCAACATTGGCAGTTGCTTCGTCCAGAATTATGATGCGATTTTTTCTTAAAGTTGCACGCGCTAAACATAAGATTTGTCGTTGACCAGTGCTGAAATTCTGCCCATGAGCTAGAACAGGCATTTGCAGCCCGTTGTGCTTCGATATGAATTCCTTTAGCTCAACATTTTCAAGCGCATTCCAGATATCGTCGTCCGAAAATTCTTCGAATGGATCCAAATTCCTGACAAAAAAATATGCGATGTTTTTTAACTCCTGAAAACTAACGTTATTTACGAAGGGAGGCTTACCTTCGTAAAGTGCCCGAGAAAAGAATCGGTTCTTGAAGTATAATCGATATTCTCGATCGCAAGACTTTCAAATCAACCGAAGATGTATTGACATCGTCCAACAGTATGTCGCCGTCGACGATAGCCAACCGGAAAATTGAACTGATCAATGATGACTTCCCAGCTCCCGTTCTGCCAACGACACTGATTTTCTCTTTGGGTTTCACAGAGAATGATAATCCACGCAAAACTGGTTCATCGTCAGCGGAATACCGATAAAAAACTTGTTTGAATTCAATTTTCCCATTTGATGGCCAGTCGGAAGATACTTTCTGTGGTACTTCTGGCTGTATCTCTGGCTCTAATTGACTGTATTCCAATATACGCTCTACAGATGTTAGTTGATCTACAACATCAGCACCTATTTTGTAATAAAAAAAAAAAAACAAGAATGAGAAAATTAGCGCACCTCCTGAGATTCAATGCATTGAAATACTTTCTTTGTCTAACTCCATATTGCAATGAGGACGATAAGTTAAGTGCTTGTGTTAGTGCTAAGCCTACTAGATCTCCAGTTACTCCTATGCGAAAATTATTACCAAATATGTATATTAATGAATCAATTATTCACACCATTGCCATATTTATATAGACGAAATGTAAACGGCAATAATAATTGACCACAACGGATTATTCACGTTGTTATTACATATGGCAATAATGGCCGAAACAAGTCGTCATATGTTCTTATATGGCATGCTTCTTTATCGAACTTTACGTTCATTCTAGATGGATGATTCACATCGATAGTGCTGACCATTTAAATAGCAATAATGGGATGTATGTTCGTTGATCGAAAGATCTGAAGGTCCTGTGGAAAATTTAATAGTAATAGTAATAGTAACACGTGTCCCACTCAAATTGGCACAAATTTAGACGTCCGCCATTTGAACAACAAACACACAATATTAAATTCGTTTTTATTGGTATAAACCTTTATTCATAGGCTATCGAATAGCACATTCACTTTACACTGAACGGACCATTGTCTTAGATTTTTCTCAGTATGCGTCGAACCATCAAAATTATGTTCTGGACAACTGATTTGTCGATTTCTATCAACTTTCTCTCAATCCATCCAACCAATTGTTGTACGTTTCAAGTATTTTGGACCTTCGCCTATAACATACATCCAAAAACAGACTAGAAATAATTAATTTGGTGTTTTTTTCTGAAGTTAAAAAGATGGCCTTTTTTTCATGGAAATTCCATTTTTCAAAAAGTGAGCCAATATTGTTGTTTTTTCTGCTTGCAAAGCATAATTTTGTCTTTAATCAGATAGTTCTCAACGAATTCTATCGATTTCAACAATATTTGGTTGATAATAGAGCAAGTAATGGAGGTTTAACCTTACGTTTCAGCACCAAATTTTCGAATAATGGCTCCAAAACACCATCCAAAGAAGATCCTACCATACAAACACCCCTTTATCAAAGTTCGGTTTGTCAACGTCTCTAGCCTTATATAGTAGTACCCTAATATAATCAATGCAAAAGAAACCACTTGCATTTGATTCATGGTTCGATGTAGCGATGAATGTTTCACCGTCCAAAATGATGAATTTTTCAGTGCAACATGCTATGAGGTGAAGTAAACACCCAACTTTTGACACTCTTTGGAATTTTTTCGTAACTTTTTTTGCTGATTCCTAATGATCGTGTCTAAATCTATTGTTTTGGTTCAAATTTGGATGTGCTGTAACCATAAAAATCAACAAAAATGAATTTTTGCTTGGCCAACCCGGTTTTCGGTACTTGATGACAATTTTGAAGGGTTTGAGCATTTAAATTGGGAATACGATCGTACTTTTTGCATTCTCTAGAATCCTCATCTTCATACTAAGTCCATAGAACACGATACATGGTTCGAAGACAGATTGGTTCATCTTTAGACACATGCAGAATTAGTTTTGAACTTAGCTGTCCAAAATCATTTGAAACACTTTTTCGTAAATCCAATTTGTACGACATTGCGAATGGACGTATTTCGTCGAATTGCGTTTGTTAGTAGTCTTGAGGTACTGATAAACGTGCCATGTGCATTGTTTGATATTTTGGTATTTGTTATTGCAGTGTAATAAACGCTGTAAGTTGTGCCAATTTGAGTGGGACACGTGTTATAGTAGTAGTAGTATGGTTTCAAATGGAAGATAGGCATTTTGAAGATTGATAGATAGTAACACACAATGTACGAGAGAAATTCATACATGCTTACCATGTATTTTTTTCGTGTTAGATTATTTTTGAGTTGATGATGGTTGTATTTTTATAAAAATCCGCAAGTGTCACGCTTTTTTTGGTTATTTTTACTGAAAAAAATGTCTATATATATGTCTATATATAAAAATGAGACCAAAGAGATGAAAATTTTGTGCTACCACCGTATCAATTTAGATGTGATGTTTTAAATATTTAACCGCTTTGGAGACGGCGTATAAATGCCTCTGTATTTTTAATTTATGATCTCTTTTTGGGTAAAATAGTGTCGAGTTCACTTAGAAATAAAATTGTATATACAAGACTGCAATATGACGAAAACCAAAGAAATTTAAGAAGTACAAAACTGATTAGAGTTAGGGCATTTTCGTCGGATTATTCACATAATCAGCCGTTTTACGTAGCTTGTAGAAACTTTAACTTGATAAGAGTAACATTTTTAGAATCGGCATCAAGACACATCTTTAGAAACAATATTGTCAAATTGGGAAATGTGATAATTGATCGGTGAAAAATTTAACTTTTAACTTTTATGTGTTATATAGAAATTAAAACAGTGAACACAATCGATATCTGCTACTCCGAAGTCGAAAAGGCTGGTAGCTGGGTATACGATCGGGTGGTGTATCATTGTGAACAATATTGTACAAATTTTGTGATAAATTCAGTCTGTGATCAGACGGTGAATAAATAAATAAATAAATAAAATGTCTATAATATTTTTGAGTAAATTTACCTTTCATTTTTAGTTATTTCTACTAAAAATTCATAGTGAATTTGAGTGAACATTTTTGGTTGAATTTGCTACGATTTTTCAGTAAAAATGGCAGAAAATATGTAGTAAATTTAACCGAAAACCAAACTTCGGTCATTTTTGCCGAAAATTTTCAGTAAATTCAACCAAAATACTTGAAACAGTTAAATTTACCATACATTTTCTGTTATTTTTACTAAATGTTAATAGTAAATATAATTGAAATTAATTAGAAAAAATAACTGAAAATTTTGGGCGAAAATAACTTAAATATAATGTATAGTAATTTTAACGGAAAGCGTATTTCCGTTATTTTTACTATACGATTTTAGTAAAAATATCCGAAATCGTGTCAGTAAAAATTACCATCACTTTTGCAGATCACTTTACAATTGTATCTATTTTTTTATATTCAATTTTACTTTTGAATTTGAAATTGTGAAACATACAATGAAAGCGCAATTTCATTTTTTATTACTGTACCACTTCAATTTATTATTATTTTCTTTTCAACTCTTTTCATTATAACATATTTGAATTTTTTTAACATTTACAGAAGTTTTCGTTGCAGCCGTTGATGAGTTAAGGGCCATACAGATATTTCTGGTAATTAAAAAAAGGTTACGTTTGAGTTACCTACACGATAAAGGCTTTTTGGTCGAATAAACTCTTACCAATGCAGTTTCAATTTCTGTTCGGTTTCCATATATCATACGATGAAAACTCATAATACGGGAAACAATATCTGGTGTCAGTTTTTTGGATAGATCCGTTTCAAGTAGCTCCAGGCATTCGTTATAATCTTCACGGAGAAATTCATAGTTTTCTTGACCTATTTTATTCGCAAAATCTTTTTGTTTTTTTTCCACGTATGTTGCGTTCAAAACAAAACTAGTAGCTCCCAACATTTTCAATCGGTCAATCATCTGAAATGATGAACATTGGACCATGAACATGAAGTAAGTAAATTGTTCTAATTTTCTTTATAAAATAACTTACAAGATTGTTACGGACAGCCAAATCATTAATTTCCATAAAACATTCTATCGTGTCGTCAATTACTCGTAAACTTATATTTTTGTATTGCGTTATCAACTCCTCGCGGCCTTTTGGTACGTCCGATACATCTAACACTTTC